TGGGACTACTTTCAGAAAAGGTGATAAACTTCACCTTTTTGCATAAAGTTTTCCCAACATCAGAAAGAAAATCAATTCATATATCTCAAGTATAATATCATATGGAGTGTGAAGAGACAAAAATTCCATTATAGGTGTTCTGTGCCTTTCTATGTGGATCTAATGTACCTGCTATGCTATTTTATTGCACTAATAATCACTTCTGGAATCACTGTACATAGGAAAAAACAAAACAACCCGTACTTACCACTGCAAAACTGTATAACATTAAAACATTTTCAAGAAAAGAATTTTGAGAGTGAAAACAGGTTCCTTTCCCCATGTCCGGAATCAATTGAGGAATTTACAAGTAGTGAAATACTTGATCTGTAACATTTTTCCTTTGAGAAAACTGGAAATATTTTCCATTGACCTGAGAGAGTAATGAAACTTTGTCCACTACTTTTATTCAGTATGAACATGGATCCCAAGAAAACATAAAAGCAAGAATTGTTCCCTGTGATTGTTCAGAGTAATCCTTTAGCTCCTACTATGCCTCTTTCCAACATGTAGATAAAGGGGGAAACTTTGTTCCTGTCTGGCTTATGAACAAAGAAGTCACAGGTTGAACTCTCCATACCTGAGGGCTGTGGGGGACAGTGCATCCCCTTGTACAGGCTTGAGCAGTCCTCCAGATAGGACAATCCTGTCTTTCAAGAAGAGCAGTTCTGCCCTACCCATACAAATACCCCACTCCCAAATTCTGCCACCTCCCTCCTTCAACCAATTATACCCTGTCCTCTGTGGCCAGACTCCTGGTGAGGGCCCCCTGCACCAGAGGAACTCCCAGTGGGACCTCATGCCTATCTTTGGGTAGGGCCCATTTGCATCATCCTGGCTGGATTGATTATTTGTTCTCTCCAAACAATACACATGTCACTTTCAGGTATCATAAGCTAAATTCAGACTTAATATAAGCAGGCGCCATTCCTACTGACTTCAGTGGATGATAGGTCCACTCACATCAGGCAGAATATAATTCACTATTTGGTATTGTAAAGGGCTCACCCTCTCTCAGGTGCTGCCTTCTGGCTGAGGATGTTGTCCACATGCTCCCACTCCTCTGACTGGCTCTGCAGTGGAAGATATCCCAGATGCCCTTTCTTCTCAGTCACCTGGGTCCAGGCTTCTTTTTCCTGCCTCCTCCAGTAGCTATTGGGGGACTGGGAGAATTCAGGCCCACTCTCTCCTCTAGGTTCCAGCCCAGGGATTCTGTAAATAGTTGCCTGCTAAGTGGCTTTATTGTCCACTGCTACTTCCTCCCTGGGCCATTTCCCAAGAACCTGTCCAAGTTCTTTCAGAGCTTTATCTCACCAGACCATAGCCAGGGTCCTGCAATTTACCCTAGCTCATCACACCTGGTCTTCAGCCACTGGACTAGGCAAGGGCAAGGCTGGGAACAAGGCAAACATGGGAAGGACCATAGCTGCAGGTGCTGCTGCTGACTTAAGAGTAGGCATGGTGACACATTTCAGCTAACCAGCAGATCTGGTCTATCACAGTGTTCAGCTTTGGATCAACAAGCTGGTTCCTGGATGGCTGAAGGATCTGAGGCCTGACTCCTAAGTGGCCACATATCTACAAACTCTAAGCCCAAACAGGATAGTTGGAGGTTGGAAAGGACAGACTACTGTCAAATGTGCTTATTTGTACAAGGTCTTTAAAACAAAGCTCACTTTGTCCATGTTTTTAATGCATGCCTTACAGACAAGCAACACTTGCATGACATATCAGGAGAAAAAAAGGACTGAAATCTAGTAAAATGGAAGATGCATTTTCATGTCTTTGTCTACACTATGAAATGCTTGACTGATACAGCTATACTTGCAGAGGCCCCCAGCACAGACTCATCTTATGCCAACAGAAAAGTCGTTTTGATCAAGATAGTAATGCCACCCCTCCGAACAGAATACTACAATGCCAAAAACACGGTTCTGTTAGCATATATATGTCAACACAGAAGGGTTTGCCAGGTAGAGGGTATGTTTTTTTCACATGCCTGGCCAACATAAATAAGCTGGCAAAACTTTGTAGTTTAGACATGGCTTATTATTGATAAATCCAGAAAATATGGACATTGAGTATGCCAGAGCACAGATTCAATGCTGACTAAATGCTTCTTGTAGAATTGTTATCCCCATTTCCCAGAGCTCTGGGAATCCTTTCTCTACTAATCCTTTTCCATTTAGATTACTAATAGTATCAGCCAGATTTGTTGATGACAATATTTAGTTGATGAAGTGAACAATTTTCCAGCATTTTCTGAGTACTGACAACAGCAAGTCTTTATTCTTGCAAGCCCGTCACTCCTCCTATTTCTTCCTTATACTGCTGCTCTCTTAGGATCCAACCCTCTAAACATATAAGTATTCCTACTGACTCTTAAACATATGCCTTTGCACCATAAAACCCCTTTACCTCCTGTGCACCTCTGAAAATGCTATTCACATAGCTGAAGAAATCCAGATATTCTTTCCTAGAGGAGATATAATTTTATAAGCTTCCATTCAGGGCAGAAAATGAATTTCAACGTAAGATGCAGTTTAATGAATACTGACAATGCAATTAAACTTTTTTGTATGCCTACTATTTCCCAGTGAACTTGACAAGGAAACCAATAAAAGTAGTTTGGAATCAGGTCTTATTTCTTGTGGAATAAAGAGATGCAAATTAAGAGCCTGAAGATTCATGGGCTAAACATTTCAATGCATCATCCTTGAGTAACATATCTGCTCTTCAAGTAGCTATTAGTATTTTTCCCTGTTTTAATGTCGCAGCATGAATCAGTGGAAATTATTTTAGTACTGCATTTTCCCCTTGTGATATGGAAATAGTAAGCAGTGGTAAGAAAGTACGCTATTCATGCTAGTGACTGACAAAGCACAAAAAAAAATGCCAGTGTACTCAGATAAGCCCTCAATAACGTCTTGTGTCAAAGGATCCCAAGATAATTTATGAAGTGTACTTAGACGTATTGCTTCATCTAACAATGAAATGCAAATATCTCAAGGATAGAAAACAGCTATTGCTTACCAGTTGTAAGGGGACTGTTACCCCTTACTAAAACTCTGTGGGAGTTTTTTGGTTTACCAGCTTCAGAAGGGGAAGGGTTCATGAGACTGACAGACCCCAGAGACAATGGAAAGCAGTCAACACTCCAGCTCAGCCTGACTGACAGGTTGTAAGTGGGGATTGTTCTGGCTCTCTCTGAGCAAACAGGGAGCTGAAAGAGCAGAGCGAGCTGTGTGCAGGAGAGGTCCTGCAAAGACAGAGATCTGAAAGAGGAGTACAAGAAGAAGTCCTGCAGCGACAGAACCAGACACAGACAGGCCAAGCAGTGCAGACCCTGTGTTGAGCAGCAGACTGGCAGTGCTCAGAAAGCCAAAAGGAACAGAGAAACAACACAAGGAGCTGGAACTGGCCAAGCAGCACAGCCTGCAGCTGGATGTGGTGAGCTACTGCAGCATATCCAGGGCCTCTAAGAAAGAGACTGTGGACTGTCCTTATACTCTGCAGGCTGCTGTTTTGATGTCCCTGTGCTACAGAGCAGGGCTGTGTGTTCTCATTTAACCATTCTCATTTTTTTCTTATTCTTTTCTCTTTAATCCGTTGTTGTTTAATAAATTGTATTTGCTTTGAACCTTATGAAGTGATCACTGGGCCAAGAAGGCCTGCAGTGTAAAGAGAGCACCTCGGAGTGGGGACACCCTAACTCCTGCCCCTAGTGACTACAAGGTCAGGGATTAAGCCCCAGGAAACCTGGGCCCAGCCTTGTTGGGGTTTCAAGGGCTCTGCTACTCAGGAGAGTGGAGGGGGAGCCCTCAGGATCAGGGAGCCGTGGGGTAAAGGAAGTGGGAGCGGGGACTCAGATCCTTTCGCTGGTTCATTTCACCGGGGTGTATAGAAGCCAGGAAAGTTCCCCACAAGAGCGGGACCATTCCCCCGCTTACACAGTGTACAGCATGGACTGCAAACAACAGACAAATATATGTAAGTTTGTGGGACTTCTCATAAGCTTAAAGGTAAGCTTTATTTGTATGGTCAATACTTAAATGCTACAATTGAAGTTGACCCACAATAAATTCTGCTCTAACCATCTCCTACTCTCTCCTCCCCCTTACCTGTTTTTAGATTCAGGGGGCTCGGGAGGGAAAAAACCTGCAATTTGACCTAAATGTAGAGCATAAGATTCATGCTATTTTGCAGGAGGAACTGAATCACTGGATATATCTACACAGCAAATTATGTCCAGTATTTGACTCAGATTTCATGGCCAAGTCCTCCTTCTGCCCACACAGAAATTAGTTTGTCTTGGGCCAAGAACCCAAAGGCTGTGTCAGAGCTTTGGCATTTTGCAGCACAAATACAGCACTATATCTGAGTGGGGAGCTGTATTTCCCATTTCTGCAGTTCCAAAAATTGCCACTCACTTCCCAGGAGCCAGAGGCCAGGTCATGGCATTTAACCCTTCTTTTCCATCTCAGATTTGAAACCAAAAAATCGTGGCTGATGTGTATTAGCAATGGCCAGCTGTAAGGTAAAGTTGTGAATCAAGCATGCTGCTCTCTGGCCAGAGGAACACAGCCAGATCCTTGCTAACATCAGGTGCAAGGCAGCAAGAGCATGAGAAATTATGTCTACAAGACTGTCTGATCAGTTGGCAGTCTTGGAAATTTATTGGACATTAGAACAATAAAGAGAGTGGATCAATTGGCCAAAGACACAGAGCCAGAGTCAAAGATGCTAAAGGCACCTCTGGAAACTCCTTTGTTTACCTGCCTCTGTTCCAAGGAATTTGACTGGCTACTGAGAACTGTAGTGAACACTGAGTTCCAGAGTGGTGCCTGACACTCTGCTGAGTGGGGATGGCACTCTCATAGCCCACTTCCCATGTCACATCAGAAGATGGGCATCTTTCAGATAAAGGGCTGTAACTGACTTGGTGCCAATTCTGGGTACTGAGGAGACTATGCCTTCAGAGTAGCTAAAATACATCTTGGCTCTATACTCAGAAGATCTATCTGGGGATGGCCCCGGAGAGGAGCCTGATGAAGGAAAATGCTGGAGCCAGAGCCTAGTGAATTTCTACTCCCAGGTGTGTTGTTAGTGTAGATGTGAGGGATTTCAGGCTTATGGGCCAGGTTTACTAACACAAACCAGAATTTGTGTGCTCTTCCACTGAGGCCAGAACTTGTGCCATTTCCCCCAGTGCCACATGGGATTCAAAGTGGACAGCAGAAAAGAGAATAAAAGTTAAACAGGCAGTTATTATGAAATGTTTACTACACGTTGGAACTCCCTGGTCTAGCACCTTGGGTACCTGACTGGTCCTGGGTGAGGGATTTTGTTGGACCAGGGACGTCATTTCTGGTCCCCTGCTGCCACCCCCACTCCACTGCACTCCTGTCATGGGGCAGACTCACCCCCATACTGCCTCCAACTGGCAGTCCTGGAAGTTAGCTTGTTTGGCTCACTGGACACCTCCCTCTACCTGGAGTCTCCCCATGTTTCTCTTTGTTCATGGCATCCCCTTCAGGACATTGCCCTCTGGCAGTGCGCTCTCCAGTGTCTGAGCCTACCTTCCAGTGGTGGGTGTTGTTTACTCCACTGTGCACTCCAGGGTCCTCTCCTCCCCAGGAGCCCCCAGTTCTTCTCCCAGGGAGCACCCAGTTCCCCTGTACCTGCCTTGCCTCAGTGACCCACTGTCAGTCTTTATAACTGCAGTCTGTAATGGCCACTCATCACTGGCAAAAGAATATGGCCCTCCTGCCCCTGCCTACCATGGCTGCCTCTCTACAACCCTAGTAGCCTCGGGCCTTGCTTCAGGCCCTGCAGCATAGGAGCTTGCTTGGCCAGAGCTTCACCAGCTCTGCCTTCCTTCCTCAGCACTGCTTTACTTCCAGAAAGCCTCCTGATGCCCTGGCAGTCAGAGCCCTACTACTTTCCATCCCCAGCAGCAGTCACTTCTCTGTCTCCCTCTGGGAGTCCTTCTTTATATAGCCCTCAGCTAGGCTCTGATTAGCCAGAACTGCCTCAGCTGGGGCATTGCTCTCAGCCCTTGCTCAGGGCTGGTGTTTTGCCCTTAAAGGGCCAGTGCAGGGCAAACACCCTATCACACCTCCCTATGTGCTTCCTGGCTTCTCCTGCAGCCCAGATAAGCCGTGCACTGGCTCCCACCTCCACCCCCAAAGCAGTTGAACCACTCACCAGTCTTCCCAGTTCTGCACCCCCCCAGCCCAGCTGCTAGGCTGCATGTTGTCCCCCTGCATTGCTGCAATACTGTTGAGTCCACTCAGGTGAAATAATCCCCTTTCTGCAAGCATTCTACAGAGCACAGTAAGCCACAATAGTGTGGGCTGCAATAAGGACAGTGGCACCCAATTGGTTTTGAATGCATCCCATTTGAATGCAGTGCCAATGGGAATTCAGATGTACATTCCACTACTGCCAAATGCACATTCCACCACCATCCTACAGCTACTGAGCATGTTGATGAGCTTTCTTTTGGCAGGTTCTCTGAAATCAAGGCATGGTTTCACAAGCCAGGGCAACAGATGTTAAGGGAGCTCCTCTAGAATAAAGAAGGGCAGTGGCTCCATTTATAACAACATCATTTAATGACAATAATGTCCCAGATTGTCCATGAAGGTCAAGTCCTGAGCTCTCAGACACCACATCCCACATTAGCATCCTTCTTTCTACCTCTGGGATTGGCTGAGGTCTGCATAACAATGCAGTGGTACTCTTTACAGTTCAGGTACTGTTATGCTCCTTGTAGAGGGCAACTACAGGTGTCTAAGTCCTATCAATGGAACTGATGGAGTTTGGAAAGCCCATTCTCTGAAAACCATCCATTATTTCGGGAACATTTGTAATGCCTACAACCTTAGGTTCATCGTAGTCCTGATCACCTCACAGCCTCCTCCACAGAAACCTCAACAGCTGATTTCTCAACACCAAACAGGTTAGCCACGGACCTAAAGCAGTCTCATATAGCCAGCTTCCCAATGACTAGAGTGACCTGATCCTGGATGGGCATGACTGCCCTCCTGTGAGTGTTGTAGCATCTGAGGCAGGGGCAAGTTGATCACAACCATATAGGAATGTCTTCCTCTTCATGCAAAAGTTCTGCTGATCATCACAGGTCTGCATGAGATTGTGATCCCACCAGCCTGTGCTTGTATCCTACTAGAGAAGTAATAGTCTACATGTAGACTATTACATGCAGCTAAGCCAACAGCAAGCATGAGCAGCATCAACTAGGTTGCAAACCTGTCAGTATCCTCCTCTGAATGTTGTCTTCAATAGTTAAAAACTACCACAAAAAATGTTCACCGGCATCTTGCAGATCCCCTGCTTGGGTTGTAAAATAGAACTGAGAGGATGAGTTAGAGAAGCTCTCCCTCCAAGGTGGAACCCATGTAGCCTCTAGCTTCAGGGAACATGCATGGGAATGTCTAAACTACATTCCTCTTTCAAAAGAGGAATGTAAATGAAGCAAATCAAAAGTGAAAATGAAGCGCGGATTTCAATATCGCATGCTTCATTTGCATATTCACGTCCAAGCGCATTTTCGAAAAAGGATTTTTTGAAAGTGAAAGTGCAGTCTAGACTGGGTTCTTTTGAAAAAAAAACAAAACCCTCAGCTGACCTTAACTGTAGCAGTGTGGCAAGAGGAGAACCATGGTGTAGTCTTAGATTTCAACCATTTCTGGCACCCATAAGAATTTCCCTTTGGGAACAAGAGATAATATTATTGCAAAATGATGCTGAAACAGCATTGTGGTGGCATATGCCCACCCTGTCACTGGAATAGGGCTATTCCAGGTTGTGGTCACCACTTGACTGGTCGCCGGACCGATGGCCGTCTCACTAGTCCATATATTTCTTGTAACATACACAACTATAAGTCCATGAGTAATCCTACTCACTGGGCAAAATAGCCTAGTGGCTGAAGTCAGTAAGCCTTCTGGGCAGTATGGCCTAGCCAGAGTCACTGAGCACCCTTGCATCAGGGTAGTAGGGCCTAATAACAAGAGACTATGAGTGCTCGTGTGCCAGGGTAGTAGGGCCTAGTAGCCAGAGTCCAAATGACTGGGGTTAGCCCCTGGTAGGGGGATCCAGACCCACCCTGCTCCACTGGGTCCTGACCCAGGGTCTATGAGCGGTGGGGCTGCCTACTGCTTCCTCTCAGCAGGGAATCCAGCTGAAACACGCCGAGAATATCTGGGTGGGAGATGTGGCTCCTGCACCTGAGTCATTTCCTACCAGTTCTGCTGGGGCATCGTCCCACGTAGTGGCTGGGTCTCCTGGCAGTGGTTTCTCCCTGGGTCTGTGTAGGGGCTGAGTGGTGGCAGCCTTCTGGCACTTTAGCTCCCTCTGTTTGGGACTTGGACTGTAGCAGCACTGGAGCTCTGTCTAAAGAAACTTCCTCTTCGCTGGTCAGCACAGACTGAGCTGTTCTCTGGCTTTTTATATTGCTCCAGCATTTGAAGCATGCCCAGTCGGGTCAAAGGGATGGGACTTCCTCTGCCCATAGGATTTTCACCCTCCCTGTTCTAGTGCAGGATATGCCCACCCTGTCACAAGCATCTTCGAAACAAAATATGAATTCTTCATTCCCCAAGGTGCAAAGCATTTAGGAAAATAGATTAAGAGTTGAAGGCCCAGACAGATTGTTCTTTATCTAATCTTAACCTCTCTGTCCCTAGCTCTAAGGGTACGTCTAGACTACATGCCTCTGTTGCCAGAGGCATGTAGATTAGGCTACCAGACATAGTAAAGTTAAGCGGCGATTTAAATAATCGCCGCTTCATTTAAATTTACATGGCTGCCGCGCTGAGCTGACAAACAGCTGATCAGCTGTTTGACGGTCATTATTGGCAGCACAGATTCTGCTGTCACGATAGCTCTAGAATACGTTACTAGGAATTAATAACGTACGTCTAGACTACATGCCTCTGTCGCCAGAGGCATGTAGATTAGGCTACCAGGCATAGTAAAATGAAGCTGCAATTTAAATAATCGCCGCTTCATTTAAATTTACATGGCTACTGGGCTGAGCCAACAAACAGCTGATCAGCTGTTTGTCGGCTCACCACGATAGTCTGGACGCATGGGTGTCGACATCAAAGGTATTTGTTGACCACCCAGGTATGCCTCATCCCAGGAGGCATACCTGGGTGGTCGACAAATACCTTTCATGTCGACACCCGCGCGTCCAGATTATCGCACTGAGCCGACAAACAGCTGATCAGCTGTTTGTCAGCTCAGCGCGGCAGCCATGTAAATTTAAATGAAGCGGCGATTATTTAAATCGCCGCTTCATTTTACTATGTCTGGTAGCCTAATCTACATGCCTCTGGCGACAGAGGCATGTAGTCTAGACGTACCCTAAGAGGTCTAGCTTATTCACATCACTGTGTGGGAGCAGCCTGTTTGTCCCATTCACAGCATGCACTATCAGTCAATTTTTTGGGGGGGGAGGGGTGCAACTTTCATTTGCTCATAGTACACTCAAACCCTCCTCCTTCCCTTCCCAATGTCAGCCTATTTTAGGCTAAGGATTCCCTTTGATGCTAGACTCAGTGTTGGGAAGGCTAAGCTATTCTTGGCTGGATGGTGCCAGATAGGAGCTATTTCCCAATAAACTGTTATTGTTACCTTATCTGCCACCTTATCTGTGTAATTGTTGTATTACTCCCTTAATAGCATTATTTAACTCCTGGAAGTGAGGTAGGTTAATGTGCAGCAGACAATCTAAAGGGCTCGTGATAGATTCTTTTAGTAAATATCGGCATTATGGCCCATGTCTTAAAAAATGAAAGCTTTACTTTTACCTATATTAATTCCTAAATAAGCAACCTGATTTTCAGAAGACCTAAGTGCTCAGCAATTTCTATCGTAATAATGAGTGACATATTGAGCCAGTAATTCTCATATAAATATCATGTGAAGTGGAACGATGTTATAAAGGGGAACTTTATTAGAACTAATCACTTTCAGGGCTTTCACAAATAGAGAGTCCAAATGGCTGGCATTCATCCTAGAAGGGGTGCTACAGTGCAACAATAAAGGGAAAATATTCTTACTCTTCCCACAAATAAGCAAGCATCTCCAACTGTGGAGGCAACTGAACTCTAAGGTGATTAACCTCAACTCTATTCATCATTCCAAGAAGGATTTGACAGGGATGCAATTTTCTTTTGAGCTTGTTGCATTCCATTTTGTGTTGCACTAAAACAGAGCTTTCACTTCACAAGCAGTGGCATGCTGCACAACCAAGCTTTAAAATTTCATGAATGTCTCCTTTACAAGTGATTCTGGCAGTGTCACAGACACATTAGTAATTTCAATTATGTCAATCAAGAAAAGTAAATATAAAAGTCAGGTCTTCCATTTTTATACTGAAATTGCCAACTTCAAAAAAATACTATCCACATGTTTTGAATTTCAGGTCCTGCCATATTTTACTTTTAAAAAAATAACAAATAAAAAACCACCAATAATCCAATTTTTATATGTATTTTCAGAGTTCAAAACATGGTTCAATTTTAAGATAGACAATATTCTTTCACTTAGATACTTCCATAATTTTAAAAACACACAACATAGTTGTCATTGCCCAAATGTGAAGTTACTACAATGATTGTTCTTTACATACCACATATTACTAAAGGCATTAAAGTAATTAACCTGAAAATGCAAGCCACACGCTTGTAATAATTTGCAGACTTAATTTCCAAGCAAATACCTTAGCAACACTTCAAGGATCAGCATCTTGAATGAATTACTTTGCAAATTAACAGGGGAAAGCATCTGTCTTTTCATAAAGATAATTTAATTAATTTTTTTCAGAAAACATCACTATATTTGATATTTTCAGTTCAAATTATAGAATAGTTACATTTAAATTGAAAAATATCAAATATACTGATATTTTATGGAAAAATAATAAATTAACACCATCTCTTTATGAAAAGACAGATGCTTTTCAATATTAATTTGCAAATCTATGTCATGGGCTATATGGCAGATTCTTTGTAACTTGAAGCCTTTAAATCATGATATATATAATACCTTAGCAGCACTTCTAGGATCAGAGTCCTGAATGAATCTGAGAATATGTCACTTGTATATATTTCCATAGCACTTGAACCTCATTTGTCTGAGCCAGGCCAGATTGTATTCTGTTGTTATTTTCAGAGTGCTGTTGGGACTTTACAGTAGTTGAACAGGAAGTGAAACAGGAACCATATCTCTAACTGAGGAGAATAAATAAAAACTGATATTTTGAAGGCCAAGAAGTAGCTTTTTTTCTTTTTTTTTAACTATTTTTACTTTTCCAGAAGGTCAAACTTCCATGAACTCAGAACAAGTCTTGTCTATGCCATACCACTCTAGAATAGGACTCTGGATTTAACTGTGTTTTTGCTATAACATACTTGTATCATGAACTACATGATAGAGTCTTTGTAACTTGAAGTCGTTAAATCATGACTTCAGTAACTGAGCCAGAGGATATGGATTTTATAGCTGTGGCTGGGGGAGGAGCCATGCATACTGTGTAATGTGCAGATGGTCAGACTTGATGATCATTTAGCTTTAAAGTCTATGGTGAGAAAAAAAGTATTGGTTATGTACCCACAGCTCTTCAGAACTTGACTGAGTAAATTACTAAAGAAACCATTACTCTCTAGTTGTCAGACCAAACACTTCACATCTGAAAGGATCCATTTAAGATGTCACCACTGCTATAATAAGCCAAGATTATTTATTACAGTTCACCACATTTGATAGAATTGTACTCCCACATCTGTAGGAGGTTATATGTCAAATCTAAAAAACAAGTTAATTCATTTTCTTCTCCCCACAAATTCTCAAACTTAGATCATGCCCACACAAAAGTTAATTATTGTCCCTTCCTCAGACAGTAATCAGATTTGCTTCATTTTTCAATTAGCATTATGTTGAAGACAAGCAGAATTATTAATAATACAAAACATTGTACATGAATTTTAAAAAGAAAGTGATGAATGCTAAAAGAAAATGATGAATGCTAAAAGTAAGGAAGAAAATAAAGATGAAACGGTATCGGCTATGAGAGTTTCAGGATGCATTGTTTCTGTATCCAGTTATATCCATTATATAGGATTAGATCAGAGTAAATGCAATACTCTGGCAACATATTAAAAAATGATACACAACAAACAGAAATACTATTTAATGGTTGATCAAATCAGGGAAAGGATCATAGGAACTAGTCTACAGATTTCCAATGTGTTGCTATAAATTCTTTTGCAAAGGAGGCATACATTGTTATGGATATGAGTTAAAAAATTTTCTGCCTTAGGTACTGCAAATAAATAGGAAGAAAGAGCTTAGGAAATATTAATATGTTATATGTACATTGTGCCTTTCATCCCAAACCTGCAGTAAAGCAGGTATTATCTTCATTTTATAGACAAGTCAAAGTCACATGGCAATCAGTAATGGGACTCGAAATTGAACACAGGTTCATTCAAACCCACATGGAACTTTTTGCTCTCCGTGATCTCTGACAGAAGCATGGAGCGCATAGAACTCTACATTACAGTACTCTCATGAATGTTACAAAAAAGCATGAATGGGAGACATGATTCTTTCTTCAAGGACAGTTTGTTGAAGCACAGTGAAAACTAATTCAAGGTTGTTGGTGGCATTCATGGAACAGCTGTAAATACTGGAACATCACTTCTGGGTCATCACTAACTGCCAGGACTGAATCATAATGCAGTTTTGGGGTGATGAGCAATGGCTGAAGAACTTTAGGATGTAAAAGGCAACATTGCTAGGTCTGTGTGCCTAGCTCAATGTAGCTCTCCAGTCCAGAATGAGATCTGCATTGGCAGAGGAAAATCAAGTGCTGATAGCATCGTGAAAGCTTGCAACACCAGCTTGCTACCAATCAATAGCATTCTTCATGACATAGCTAGCTTTTTACAGTATGGTGTAGGTGCTGATAAATTCTTTGATGGCTACTGAGTCTGATGAGCAAGTGACAGTCCCATCTACAGGTCCGGGGTGTGAATGCGCGCGCGCGCACACACACACACAGAAAGTAACAACACTGTCACTTTGGGTATGTCTAGACTGCATCCCTCTGTTAATAGAGGGATGCAAATTAGGCAGGTCGACATTGCAAATGAAGCAGGGATTTAAATATCCCGCACTTAATTTGCATAAAAATGGCCACTGTTTTTGCCAATTCAGCACTCTGTCGGCAAAAAGTGGCAGTCTAGAGGGGGATCTGTCAAGAAAAAAAGCCTATTTCGACAGATCCTGTAAACCTCCTTGCAGGACGCATAAGGGATCTGTTGAAAAAGGCTTTCTTGACAGATTCCCCCTCTAGTCTGCCGCTTTTTGCCAACAGAGTGCTGAGTTGGCAAAAAATGGTGGCCATTTTTATGCAAATTAAGCGCAGGATACTTAAATCCCCGCTTCATTTGCAATGTTGTCCTGCCTAATTTGCATCCCTCTGCTGACAGAGGGATGCAGTCTAGACATAGCCTTAGAGAGCAGTTTTTTCCTCCTCTGATGCACATCATCACAAAGCTTCATCTACACACTGACTCCACCAATCAGTGCAGCCTTTTGCACTCCTTTTCCCATCATCCACAGAGATTCTAAAAGATACAAAGTTATATTTACAAGCATCCATAAATCTGTACAGCAAGATCTTTCTTTCTAGACTCTTCATGAACTTCAGATACAGCACACTCTTTGATTCAGCAGTCACTTGACATATCCAAGCTACCTGGGGTTTTTCTAACATTCCCACGAATGGCATGCCAGCACAATTTAACACTTCAACAGGTTTTTCTCTGTCATGCCATCTTATTCAAGTAATTGTATAGAAGCATCTGATTTGAAAGCTCTTTAGTCTTTTCATATATTTTGCATATGTCATCCACGTTTCTGAGCCATATAGGAGAATGACAAAAAACCCACAAGCCTCATAAAGGAATTTCACTTTACTTGACAATGTCATTGTTCCAGGTTCTGACTTGCAAAAGGGACATCCCTATGTACATAAATTTCAGTGCATGCCTCTTGTCCTCACACTCCCTCCCCGGCTTACTTGTATAGCAGAATGAAAAATCAGAAGCCTACTCCTGTTTGTTCTGTATGAGTAAAATAGTCAATAGATACTTGTGTCTTCTTAACTTGGGGAGTGGGTGAGGAATAATCTTTAAACCTATACATTTTAAGGGAAATGTTACACATACACTTAACCATGCTTTCTTCCCCTTTATCAGGCTTGTTCATACTCCACTGCTGCAACTGGCTAAACTATGGCAGAGCCTTGAAGTCCTGGCTCATGACATAGCTGGATCGCCCTTCTCATGTCCCCTTCTCTTCATGGCAGAATTCTGTCTCAGGCTTCTTCAGGGTATGCAGTGTGGTCTGCAGGGTGCTAGTGGAGTCTCCAGCAAGCATAGCAGGTGCGTGACTCAGCATCAGATCAATTGTTGGCCTGTCTGGCTTTGTGATATACCTACCTGCTGCAGTTCCCTCACATTCATGTAACAGTGCTGCTGAGGCTGCCTACATTCTTACCTGATGACATTGTCAATCTTTTCTAAGATGTCCACATTTCAGTGATGGATCTGTAGTGTGCCTGCACAATCTCTTCTCCCCACAGGCCCAGGAGACCCACTACTGCCTATCTACTCCAGACAGAAGCAAGTGTAGTGCATTGAGCTGGCATGACTGACTGAGCAATTGCACACAAGGGAGAGAACTACACATGCTCAACAAGGTGAACAATGAGAAAAAAACATTAATGAGGGGCTTGGGTTCCAGTTTCTGTGATCCCTGGGTGGTGGAGTTCACCACACTAGCCAGAGAAGGTACTATCACGGTGAATGAGCACTGTGGGACAGCTGCTGGAAGACGATTGGTGTTGATCCAAGTCACACAAGTGTCTGAACTCACACTGCTTTAATTTTACCAGATCAATCATGGCTCACCATTGTTTAGGGAGGTGGTTTTACTTAGTCACTGTAATGGGTCCCTTTGCATGGAGACACATGCACAAAATGGCCAGTGTAGCACTTATATCAACATAACTTTGTAGGCCAGGCCTTGGAATATTCCTAGACTCCCTGTCACTCATTTACCTTCCTCTGTGAAGCAGACCTGTGAGACCCAACACTTCCAACAGCACATAAGCAGGGGTGAACTAGAGAAACGAGTAAGGATTGCAACACAGCTACAGGAAGGAAGGCTGTGAAGCCCTGTCCCAAAAGTAAAGAAATTTGATCCCAGGAATGAGGGCTACTAGCATAGGGAGAAGCCCTGGGAAGGAGAAACAAGACAGGTTGTAGTTATGGAGGACAGAACAGCCCCATTAGTAAACAGGGACCAAGAACCCTACCAGAAGTTTCAGTGATGTCCTGCTATTAATGGAATGAAGAAAGGATTGACTGGCACACTGGGGGACTGGAAGTTGAGTCTGTGAAGAGAAAGGCCAAAAGCTTTTATGTGCCTCACATAGGTCCAGGATGGAAAATTAGTGTTTTATTTGGACCCTGCATACTCTCAAAGCAGTGGTCTTTTGTGAATTCACCAAAGGGCCCAATTACATCAACAACTGAACTGTACTGAAGGATGAGAATAATTGGGAGGAAAAAACAGGAGTGCATGTGTATTTATATATGTAGGTGTGAAAATATACAGGGAGGGAAATATGAGTCTAGCCAGAGCTAACTCAATAATATATTCTTAACTTTGTCCCCAATAGATCTTTCAAGACTATCAACTCAAAGAAAAACAACCTTAACAATCTCTATAAATTTACCCACTCCAAAGCACCTCACCTGTATGCTTCTGGCATTCTTGACTGAATCATAAATAACAGTGACCATGTCTTCTTGCCTTTCATCCCCTGCCTCTGAAATTTTTGCCAGCATGTGTCACTGATGTGTAATAAATCACCCTGAATGCTTCCGTTCTCTTACTGTATGCTTTAAGAAGAATCACATTATGGAGAAGATAATGTGTCAATTGCTGCAGTCACTAATAAGGGACCAAATCCAATAAACTCATTATGCCTTTTATAATGAAATATTGTTAGCAGAGGGTGCTATTCTGCATCCAAAAAAGGGGGTAGCAGACAACACTCTGAGGTTATGTGGTTATTTAACTACAAGCATCACAGTGATGAAGACAATGCAAGAAGCTTTTCTTCATCAGCTATCTCTGATGTTAAAGAGACCCTCCATTAGTTCTGGCAATTGCGAACCTATTCGCTGACAGGACTAAAAATGTTTTACTTCTTCCATTGAGTGAAAATGTGATTCAGATTCCTTCCTGAAAATAGATATTAACAATATACTTTTCAGAGTTAGAGAGCGTTAGCACACTGGCTGGTACTGTAACTGCCAACTATAAACCTTTCCTGTGACTATTATGCAGTTCAGGATATGATTCTTTTGCGACAAATGCTACAGGAAAGGGAACACAAATATTTATAGATTACAGAGAGTGTAGATTACAACCCAGCTTGAGTTTTAGCTATTCCATTCAGCTAGTCAGGCTTTTGCCAGAAGCAGTCTCTGGGAATGACTTACCTGGAGGCTTTTTTTCCCTTTCTAGAGCAAGATCCCTAAAACAAATTCTAGCTATTAAAGATTTTCAGATTGTGAACTTCTGAGAAACTTCTTTATTGTACATTTTCAAATCTATATTTAAATGAAGGGGAGAATGCAAAAGCAGTGTGCATTAGAGAAATGTTCCCTATTTATTTCCAGTACACCTTGAGGAAAGAAAATATTTAGTAATTATTAAGATTACTAACCAAAAAAAAAACCTTTCAAGATTTATTTTTATTCTGTTTTATACAACACGTATGCACTTGCACATATAAAGTTTATTTTACACACACACACACACACACACACACACACACACACACACACACACACACGCTACAGACTAAGTAGAAGAGAAACTGCAGCAAAATCATTTAAAATATCAAAACTATTTTAATAAATTTGCAGCAATGCACAAAGAAAGGACAGCATTTATTTGGGGAGAAAAAGACTGTAATGGCTAAATTTCCCTTTGAAATATTAACTACTAATTTTGAATTGGGCAAGTGGCCAGTCAGGGATAAAGTGAGTAAATGGAATTAATTTTCAGCATAGATAGCCCCAAACAAAAGCCGCTCTTTGAAGGTTTGTTTACCTGTAGAGAGTGGTTTTCATTTATCTTATAATGATCGAGAAATGCAAAGGACTGAGAATTAATTAACTTTATTCCTGAGGATAATAATTTGTCATATCTAATACTTCCCAGGGTACCCACCATTGCATCTCAGCTCATATAGATCTCCCTCCACCCCAATTCATCTCCCCAAAAATGGGAAGGTAAAAAATTAGCTTCATGCAGTTCTTCTGGTTTTCATTTATCTTATAATGATCGAGAAATGCAAAGGACTGAGAATTAATTAACTTTATTCCTGAGGATAATAATTTGTCATATCTAATACTTCCCAGGGTACCCACCATTGCATCTCAGCTCATATAGATCTCCCTCCACCCCAATTCATCTCCCCAAAAATGGGAAGGTAAAAAATTAGCTTCATGCAGTTCTTCTCTGTAGATGTCAGTTGTAATAAATCACCATGCTATGGGCTGTGATCTGAGGGTGATACTGGCAGGAACTCCCAGAGCTTACAATTTTAATTTTGTTGGCAGAGCCTGCAGCTACCCCCGCTAAAGCATCATTGCAGCCCCTACTGCTTCCAACTACCAGTTCCTTTGCTATAAGAGAAAATTTTTAACTTCTAAGGTAGAAAATACGTTGCTAAAAAGAACCCTGAACCTCAGCCCTTAGTGAGCTGGGTGGGTGTGATGGAGCACAAATGCCCCACCACTGGTAAGGCTCCACAGCAAGAAGTTGTGGCTACCTAACCCCTCCCCTATGCCCGTGTGGCATATGCTCACGCCAGACTCCAGGTGGTTTAAATGCTGGTGGTGCGGCAGACAGAGGGGGCAGAAGTCCACCCGGGCTGGAGCCTGGCCCCCTGCGAGGTGGAGAGCTGGGCGAGCCACCCCTCTGGGAGGGAGAGCAGCCATCACAACCGGGGGAAGAGCAGCCAGCGGTAGCCGACCAGTCCAGTGACTCTTTGCAAAGAGCAGTGGTTGATGTCCCTAAGAACGACATCCATGACCCGAGTGCACCGGGGTTCAGGCTCAGTAGGAAGAGACCCAGGGCGGGCATTTGCCTGAGTGGTTGGAGGGTTATGGCAAGGAACCACCCCCCCAGCCTTAAAGGTCTGACATCTAGACCCATACAGTCCTGGTCTGGGACCCGAAGGTGAGGGCAGGCCCGGGTCCCCCTACTCCACCCTAAGTAAGCATTGGGTAGAGCCCAACCTGAACTGAACCGAACTGCGTGGTTCTTAGCAGCGATAAACTTACTGACAACCCAGCCACTCCAGAGGACGTTGGATTGGAAAGGGGAGCACTCGAGGGACACTCAGGGTGAACTCTAATCCCCGGAGGTTATAGATGGCATGAGGGGTGTGAAGCCTGAAGGGTCAAGACTGAATTAGATACACCCTGGGCAGAGGAATGTCAGGCAAGAAGCATTGGCTTCTCTCGTCCCATGGACGTCCCTCCCACGGGCTAGAGCAAGAGGGTGGCGCAGCCCAGAAAGTCCCTCTGCTCTCTCCCCCCTCCATGGGGGGTAGGTAAAAGGGGTCATGGTGGGCTGCCTCCAGACAGTGGGCAAGAGGGATTGTCTATTAAACTTTCATCCTTAAAGATGAAGAGTTACAGACAAGTCAGTTTCTTTTCTCTAATGGGGCTAGTTTTGGAAGATCATCATTTATGGATATTCAAAAACCATAAGAATGTTTTTATAAAAAATGGCAGGGGAAAACCACTGCAAAAGCCGTAGACAAACTACAAGATAGAAACATGGTTTATTTTTTCATTTTTTGTAATGACAAAGGCTCCAATTCTATAGCTAGCTCTGGACTGGCATTGGCAATGATCTGGAAGGTGCATGAAATACATCCAAGTCAAACCTGAATTTTTAATAGAAGACCAAGACCAAGTAACACTAGGAAAGCTTCAGAGGGGAAGCCAAGTTAGTCTGTAACTGGAAAAAACTTAAAAAACAACAAATAGACTAGTAGTACCTTAAAGACTAACAAAACTCATAAAGTTTCTTGGGTACAATCCACTTGAAAGCTGAATTTTAAACTCAATATGATTCTCCTGCAAATTTCTCTGACAAGAATTAACTTGAAACAAATCTCTGTAGAAACCAACTTCCATGGAAATGTGTCGCATGACTGTGACAACCACAAAACCTTTCACAGGTTTAGGCACTGATGGATGTCTTTTTAATAGAATTCAGATAACTAAAATTTCAGATAGGTGCTTTTGAAAAATCTCCGAAGGGGCATGTCTACCCTCACCAGATCAATGCTCCAGAGGTTGATCGTCTATCATTCATTTTAACAATGGCAGCTGGTACTCCTCCTTCTTTGGCCGTGTCCAGACTCAGGGATTTTTTCGGGAAAAGTAGCCTTTTCCCGAAAAAACTTCCCCTGCGTCCAGACTCAAGCCGCGTTCTTTCGAAATTATTTCGAAATAACGCGGCTTTTCTTTCGATGGCGGTAAACCTCAATTTACGAGGAAGAATGCCTTGTTTTGAAAGTTCCTCTTTCGAAAGAAGGCATTCTTCAATGTAAAGAGGCCGTCTTCGAAAGAGAGCATCCAGACTCGCTGGGTGCTCTCTTTCAAAAAAGCAGATTTCTCTTTCGAAAGATCCGCATGCAGTCTAGACACGATCTTTCGAAAGAGGCTCTTTCGAAAGATGCTTTCGAAAGAGCCTCTTTCGAAAGAAGCTTGCAGTCTAGACATAGCCTTTGAGGAGTAAGGAAAGCTGAAGGGAGCATTTTTTCCTGTTGGCCTCCCGCTGTGTGGATGCTACCACAGCTTGACTTAAGGTAAGCCAACTTCAACTACACATAAAACCACTTTAAGGTACCAGAGCAGAATAAGGAATCTTCATATAAATGACACTCAAAGACACAGAATACAACAGTACTGCTCATATGTGTAATATTAAAGCATGCTTAGGCACGTAGTCACTGAGATTCACAAAGCCTGAGTTTGGTGCCCAGGCTCCCTATATAATAAATGGAAAGAGACAGGTGCTTCCGAATGGGGTTCACAAAAGCCAGCATAGAAGGTGATGCCCCAAAATATGTTAATTGGAGATGCCAAGAGGAGGGATTATTCTAAGCCCTGTCCTTGTTCACTAACATATGTGCCTAAGTCTGGCTGAAGGAAGGTGCTTGCCTTTGTTTGGGATTCTCAGCTGCAAACCCTTCAGTGAGATTGGACACAAGAGTTCCCATGTGAATTGTGCACTTTTGCAGCTGCTCAGAAGAGAGTCAAATGCTGTCCAGTATTAGCAAAGTGCCCACAGCTAGGTTTGTGTTTCTACTGGTGGTGCACATTTGCACATCCACATACAGGGATGGAAAAGATTAGCAGGAATATTGTTAGACACCTATGCTTTTTTACAAGAAGCTGGGGGAGGAAAACCTTCCTCATAACGTATAGTTCTGTGGTGCTCATCTGGGATGTGGCATATCCCTCTGCCCTTTGAACCCTCTTCCTGAGAAAGAATAACTGGGCCACAGAAAACACTTCAAGTTGATAGTGTCACTTTTCGCCTACAGCTCACATTTCCCATGCTATAGTCTAAGGAGGACAGGCTTATTTCATGTTGGGGTACAGGGTCCATCTCTAACATCAATTTACTCCGAAAACGTAGGACCTGAATCTTCACTGCCTTACAGCTTTTGGAGCAATAATTTACATTTGGCCTAAGTGTGTGTAAAACTACATTCTGACATGGAAGTCTTTTTTAATACTCTCTTTACACTATCTAAGTGGTTTTAAAGTTGCATAAACATAACTTACACCCATTTTAAGGTCCCAGAGCAGAATAAAAAATCTTGACACTCAGAGACCAAGATTTGGTGGTGATGGGGGACTTCAACTATCCAGATATATGTTGGGAAAATAACACAGCGGGGCACAGACTATCCAATAAGTTCTTAGACTGCATTGGAGACAACTTTTTATTTCAGAAGGTTGAAAAAGCTACCAGGAGGGAAGCTGTTCTAGATTTGATCCTAACAAATAGGGAGGAACTGGTTGAGAATTTGAAAGTGGAACGCAGCTTGGATGAAAGTGAATGGGAAATCATAGAGTTCACAATTCTAAGGAAGGGTAGAAGGGAGAACAGCAAAATAGAGACAATGGATTTC